GCCCGGGATGCCGGGGGCTCGCTGGGCTGCCGGCGCACGTTGCCGGCTCCTGGCCAGCTTTTCCCCCCCCGGCACCCCCGAGCCCTTCTCGGCAGGGCTGCTCTCCATCTCTCCATCCCCCGCCTGTCCGCAAAGTTGCTGAGTATCTCCTGGTCCTGTTGGCAGAACTGCCAAAACCCCAGCCAGGGATGAGAGGAGCAAGAGGAGGAAGCAACAGAGGACAGCCAGGCCGGCAGAGGCAGGGGACATGGCTGTGTGGGGCCCCAGAATAAACCCTCACCCCTGAAGTAGCCGTAGAAGAGCAGAAGCTCAGCCTACCTTATTATTGCTGTCTTGCAGAGGAAGTTTCATAGATGAAAGAATAAAGGGCTTTTTAATCTCCATTTGAGAGGCTGAAAAAAAGAAGACGGACTCTGAAGCTCAGTGATGCTCTTGAGTTGCCAAGGACAGAGCTGCCGATCCCAAACTTCCTCCTTCCCTGACAGGGCGGGCTTTGTCCCTTGCCCCCTTTCCCAGCTGGCCAGGCCACCAGGCTGGTTTCCTTCTCCCCTGACCCTGCAGCCACGGGTGGGCTTGTCTCATCCCAGGTCCCAGCAGGGGAACGAGGGGACTCATGCAAAGCCACCCATGGGAGGAAGGAGCCCTGTTCTGGAGCCCCTCCGCACCTTCCTGCTTCGAGATGCCGGTACTCACGGGCGCTGTTGATGATCTGCCTCATGATGAGGAGCGTCCCCACACGGGTCCTCTCGTTGCTGCTCTCCAGCTTGGGGAGGAGGAAGGCCAGCACGCGGTCAGGGAACGAGCAGGCTGCGGGAGCCAAACCAACCGGTCACGGATGCACGGTGCCCCGGGGACAGCACGCAGCCTCGAGATCCGGGATGTGGGCACCGCATCCCCTCCGCGGGCGCATCCCACCCTGCACATCCCCAGGGATGGTGTGGCGTACGTGCGGGAGGGCTTCGCCTGCTGCCACGCCAGCCCACGAGCCCGGCTAACCGGCCCATCCTGCTCCTCGCATCCAGAACTGAGCTTTTCCCCGGCACTTTTGGCACATTTCCTGCGCTCTCCAGGGAGCCAAAGGAGTTTAAATTATACCTGCCAACAAGTGCTGCCCCGTCTATCAAAACATTTTGATTGTTAAAAATAAAACCAGCCTATGGATGCTGAAATTGGAGCAACACTCGTGGGCACTCGAGAGGCACGTTTGGGGAGGGATGGGCTGCTCCGAGCCCGGGTAGCCTGAACATCGCTCAGGCAAAGGCAGCTCGGCCGCAGGTTTGCCTTCACGGACGCGAACAAGAAAGGGACATCACCCAACCGTGACTCAGCAGCAGCTCGTCGCACCACGGCTCTGTTCCTGGCAGTCGCACACGCTTCTGTCTGTGCCACAGCCGTGGGGTGAGGAGAGCCAAAGTTAGGGGGGGCAGAGTTCCAGCCACGGAGCTCCACGCGCAGGCGGGGAACGTACACGCCACCGGGTCAAGAAGAACAGGGAACTGCTGGAGAGGGTCCACCAAAGGGCTACAAAGATGATGAGGGGACTGGAGCATCTTTCTGATGAGGAAAGGCTGAGGGACGTGGGGCTTTTTAGTCTGGAGAAGACTGAGGGGGGATCTCATCAATGCTGATAAATCCTTCAAGGGAGGGTGCCAGGGGG